TTGACAGAGGCGATGTTAAATTGTTATTAAAATGTTTTCTGATAATTTAGACAAACTATTCATGCAAATGGTTGAGATGGTTTCATTTTTTAATGTTACATTTAGAGCTCGAAAAATATTACTCCAGGTAAGTCAACTTTGAATGATCGTTCGATCATATGTGAAATATAAACAATTACATCTTCACTGATTGTGATTACTTAAAGTCTGCGTGATTCGATTCTCCTCAGAAACTGAAAAATCAAGAATTTATGCCTTTTCTTGGAAAAAGAGCAGAATCATGTGTGAATCCATTCACCGTTTAGTTACAGTTGGAATGAACTGAAAAAGTCTAGATTTGATAATTAATAAATTGATCAACACGAATGCTTTAAGTCCTTATCTCATTTCACTTGTGAGAAAACAAATGCAGAGATTCATTTAGTTTACAGGCTTTAATGAAACTTGGTTAGTCTGTGTCCCGAAATGAGTGATTTGTGTTGTATGTTCATCAAAATGATATCACTGTACAGAATAAATTCATCTACACGCTCACTCAGTTTATGATCATTCGTAAATCTTATCCACTTGACTTAAGATATCTTTGGAGCGACATATATGAAGTGATTCGTTTTTCATCTACTACAAATCAACACTATCATCACAGTCATTTAGTCGATTGAAATGTTATCCAACCAATTGAATTCACAAGTTCCAATCGTAAACAAACACTCCACATCTCATGTCATATGTACTAAGGCTGGATACCTTTACGATTATCAGATCTTAGTGTAGAACGTGACGATTAATTGTTTCAATAATAATACTGCTTGACAAACTGAGCGTTTGACATTCATTTTGAAAGATGAATGCTTGTTTTATTTACATGACGTTCATTCACTTGAAAACATTTATTACGAATTCAACCGAAGAAAGTATTTGAGATGACACAGTGGATATCCACTGAAATAAGATCATTTTGTGTGTAGGCATATACAGTGTTACATCAAACAATAACGTGCTTATTTTTAATCTTTTGAGGCCTACGTGTACATTATATTCTTATTGTAGTGGTTGAAGGCAGTGTAATCATTTTGATGTATCCGAATGGAAAGATGTCTATGTATTACGAGAACGTAAGTTGAACAAATGAATGGAAATGAAATTTTATTTCACGTATTTCAGATCATTCTAACATTTCAAAGTAATCAATATTATCGAATGTATCAAGTTACATGGAACACGATAGAAAGTGATCAACATTTTGTAATGTCCAATTAGACTATTTGACATTAATTTCAAAGCCTTGATGACATACTTCAATCCAGCACTTTTTTAAAACAGCCCATGATTAGAAGTGAATTGCATTCAAAAGAAATGATGTGTTCATGCCGAAAAGTAACAGACAGTGTATGTTATATGGTACTGTACGGAAAGAACCGTATACTTTAAAGCTTTCTTACATCTTCTGATGATCGGCTGTTCGGGACGTTTACTGTTGAATGTTTTGAGCAATGAATCTCTGCAGTCATTCACAAACACATTTCATTTCACCTGACGTAGATATTCATCTCACATTTCACGATAGATTGATAGTTCATCGACATTCACTAGAGTTGTCGACTGGAATGATTCAAAATATCTAAGTATATTAGGTGGAACATACATCATAAAAAGTTTGGGAATATCAGTATGCTTAATGTAAGTGTGATTGGTTGTCTTTAAATAAGATAATCTGAGTGATAACACATTACTTCAAAGAATAATTGGTTTTAATATAAACAGTTATGTGTTGAGATAATTTGACTTGAACTTCAAATACTTTTTTCCAGATTCCTACACAATTTGAGCAACATAACAGCAGCGGAGAAATGTTCCGTCAATTCAAGTGTGAAAGGCGTAAGAAACGTTTCAACTTAAGTTGTTAGCATTTTGATATACAGTGAAGTTCATTACCAAACATCTATTTGCTAAGGCTCACTCAACCGGTTTACTTGTGTGAAATAAGTAAGAAGAATGAATGCTTTTATTGGAAAAGCTTGGATGACTATTTGCAGACATTTTATGCTTATGATTAGCTATCAATTAATGGTGAATGTGATGTATGAATGACGGTACTAATCAGACGATATTTGCACTCATTTATTCACTCACAAACAGTACGACAGTCTCACTTACAGTCTTCAGTTACATCACTCTTCAATGCAAACTCAGGTGTGTTTTGCATGAGATAGAAATAAACGAGTGTTACCTGAAGTTGATGTTTTCTTCATAAAATGCACAATAAACATGATTCACTGAAATGATCATGTGTTATTAAAAGACGTAGCTGAGTTTGTAGACAAGTATTGAATGCAGGTGATTAGGTGTTGCACAGCATTTAATGATGGAATGTGAGAAACTGAACTAAATATTAAGTCTAGTGGTACATGTTGCTCAGTTGTAATATATTAAAGAATCTTTAAACATTGAATGTAATTATCATAATTGTATTGTTTGTTTGAATTCTCCTGTCAATATTTTGAACTGCAATTGATCAGCCTGTTATAGAAATACATATGCATCCTACAAAGGTTTTCTGAATGTTGCCTTACGTCACAAGCTTTTTCGGCAAAACTGTATAGTGCATAGCATTGGAACCAATTGCAGTCCGAAACATCAATGGGAAGATTCAATAATCGATACGAAGATGAGACAAAACATCACCCAATTGTACAAGTTATTGTGTATCTGAGATGACCAGCCTAACGTGTATAACGGGACGACGTTTGAAGTGCATAGTGCTGGGTTCCAGTCTGAGAGTGAACATCAATTATTAGATGCAGGAACATCCAGCTGACAAGTCCTACATTAGACGAAGCGTACGCCTTGAAGTGCACTGCTAGTCATCATTCCTCGTTGGTTTGTAACTTTCTATGTTGCTTATTTACAATTTAAAATGTGAAATGTTGTTTGTACTAATTTCTCCGCAAAATAACACAGCACATTTGTGGATTTTATTTTTTGACTTACTGGTTGAACATTGATCAATTTCGAAACTCAGAGTGTGGTACAACATAATTTTTGGAGATGTAAGATGATCTCCACATTAACCTTTATGGCAAATGTTTAGGTTTCATGTTTTTATCGTAACTTGGATTATGCAAACAACTTGTTAACCATAAAAAACAAATCAAAATTTTTAATTGTCTTTTTATGTTCAATTTGTCAAATCAGCTGCATTACATCGATTAACTATTCCTCAAAAATGGGCGAAAACTGGAGCGTTGGTGGAGTTTGAAGTAATCGGAAGTATGTTAAACCTTATCTAATCAGCATTATCAATTTACACACTTGATGATTTGACTATTGTTTAATCAACTTGACAATTTTATGTGTATTTGTGGTCATTGTATACAGGTAACTGTGTCAAACGACGTTTTAATTACCACTAATATTTACACGCCGTTTCATGAATGAATGTAACAAATGATAACAGGCCCATTTCGAAATAATATTAAATTCTTCATTTAGATTAAATTAACTTAAACACATTGCCACAAAACAATAGATGAGATGATATTAGTCTTGAGAAAGATTAGGTGTTAATCAGTTGATGATGCATGGATGCGGAAGTGTCTGTTGTTTTCACTCAATATGTGTAATATCAAATTTAACTGAAGTATTGAGTTCAAGGGAACACTCCACGTGCTTGTCATTACTGTAAAAACAATATAAAAATCCCTGTTTGGTCACACTTAACCGATACATTGAAGGTATAGTTATAGGACGGCAGCAAATTACAATTTATCATAGCTAGTTTCAGAATTAATTTCACAGTGTGAAAATGCATTCCTTCTCATGAATATGTAATTTGAGTAACTACGAACAGATTTCAGTTCACCATTGTGTAAGAGTGTTAAAATAACATTTCGACTACTGAGAGAATCATTCCACTATCCAATGATCAAAGAAAATCCAGTTTTTGTTGAATATAATACGGCCATATACTTCAAGAAAATAGTCACTTTTTCCATGTCTGTCAATTGAATCAACACAATTGAAAGTGAATTGACATTCTGATAACATCTCACTTTATTTCACCAATATCAAATAACAAAAACTATAAAACCGTCAAAAATCAAATGCAGTGCGCATTGATGAACTCAATGACCATATCATGTGTACATGTCTGAAGGTGAACAGTTATTGAAAACCAGTAAAATTCACTTGTCGAAATTCATCCATCATACATGACATTCCAAGCAGTTTCATTCAATTCAAACATGCTGTTGTAAAATGTGAGTGAATATGAAAGTGTACTAATAATTGCACGATGCAATGTGATGACTGTTTTCCAGTGAACGAAATAGCCACTTAACTCCTAAATCACCATCACATTATTGTATTATTGATAAATGTTTACAATTTACGTATCTTTTGTTTGATAAATTGAAATGAAATTACATTATTCCTTTTACAGCATACTGTCCGAAATACAGTACACCTGAAACATGCCAAAATGCAGAAACAAAGAACACAAAATGCTTTTGGTGTGAGAAGGCTAAAAGATGTATTGAAAGTAACGATCACGATACTCATGACTTGAAAGTTAATGATTGCCGTGTCGAGGTAACTACTTCTTAAACTTATCAGGTTGTTTTCAATGTCACCAAGTTCCACATTGCGAGTAAATACACTTACTCGAAAGAATATTTTATTTCTATCAATAAGAACTGACGTGTATTCTACTCTGAGTGACTAAACTACAGCTTTCTATACAGTGACCATTTCTAATCAGATACAAGTAGAATGCTTTATTTGCAGGGAAACTGTGACGGCGGACCTCCAGTTTGCTCTAGGAAGCTGTAAAAGGCTCATAAGGAGCCGAAGACGTTCCATCCAATCACCTTTCGGAGGAATGTTCTAGAATTCCAACGTGTAGCTTCCCCATTGGATGATGCTAATAAGCCCCTGTACGCGGATTGTAGACTGTAATGATGATTTCGTTCTCACTAAAAATTATAAATACCTGACCATTTTTGTACTATGTTTGACACTGTTTGGAATAATATTCCTTTCGTTAGTCTTCTGTCTTCTTGTTGCGACTTGGAAGGGTTTGGTGTTCTAGTGCTCAGTTATACGCGGTTGTATCAAGAAAAATCAGCTTTTTCAAGTTTTAACATCTGGCGACGGGTTATTGTATCAATATGTCACTTACCTTGGAACAATTTGAAGCCTTATTGGAACGCCAAGAATAGTTCCAGATGCGCATGTTAGAGATGTTAACGCAGAAAATGAACCTGGATCAAAAAGAAGTTACAGATGATCCCTTCAAATCTCATGTTGACCAGATTGTTAATTCTATCCATGAATTTAATTTTGATGGTTCAGCTGGCATTACTTTTGAAACTTGGTTCAAGAAATATGAAGATTTGTTCAAGGTCGACCTCAAAAAACTTGATGACGCCGCTAAGGTCAGAATACTCTTGCGAAAACTTGGAACTGTTGAACATGAACGTTACAGTAACTTTATCCTTCCAAAGAATCCAAGAGATTTTTCTTTTGATGCAACGATTGAAATTTTGTCGCAAATCTTTGCTGAACAGTCATCCTTGTTTAATATTCGTTATCAATGTCTCAAGATGACAAAAGCAGCTGATGATGACTGGGTGAAACATGCGGGTTTAGTAAACCGTGAATGTGAGCGTTTCAAACTATCTGCAATGACAGAAGACCAGTTTAAGTGTCTCGTATTTGTGTGCAGCCTCCAATCTCCTGAAGATGCCGATATTAGAACTAGAATTTTGAGTAAAATTGAACAATGTCCGAATATGACACTACAAGAAGTAACGGCAGAGTGCCAGAGATTGGTGAACCTAAAGCATGACACTTCGATGGTCGAAAATAATGGCCAGTTGCCATACGTTCGTGCTGTAAGCGGAAAGAATGATTCTTGCTCAAGAAAGGCATCGCACACAGATAATCAGCCTTCATCTCCATGTTGGTCTTGTGGTGGTTGGCATTATAAAAGGTTCTGTCCATATAAAGAACATTGTTGTAGCAAGTGTCATCGCAAGGGACATAAAGAAAACTGCTGCAGAAAAAGAACCCATAAACGACATTCTTTGAAACCCTACTCGAAGAAATACAGATTTAGTGCTCGAACTAACAAAATATTGGTATCACATAATCGAGCACGAATTTGCCGCCAAAGAAAGTATGTAAACGTGGATATAAATAAAAAGCGTGCCCGCCTGCAACTCGACACCGCTTCTGACATCACACTTATTAGTCGGAGAACTTGGAGTCTTATCGGTAAACCACAGGTGCTCCCAACAACCCAGTTAGCTGGCAGCGCATCTGGAGGAAAACTAAATATTGTTGGAGAGGTTTGTTGTACAGTTTCGAAAGGAAATGCGAAAACGAATGCAACTTTATATCTTACACAGAATCCAGGACTAGATTTGCTAGGTCTAGACTTGATAGAAGCACTTCAATTAGCAAATCACCCCATTAACCACATATGCAGCGCAGTGAGAACCAGTAAACCTGTGGAAAAGGATCTGAAGAGTGTTGTATTGGAAAGACACAGTCAAGTGTTTACGGAAGAGTTGGGGGAATGCAAAAAGGTTAAAGCACTATTGATTCTTAAACCGGGAGTCACCCCCGTCTTCAGACCAAAACGTCCGGTACCCTATGCAGCACTACCTATTGTTGAACAAGAATTAGAGCGTCTGCAAATAAGTGGAATAATCGAACCAGTAAACTTTTCTGATTGGGCAGCTCCAATAGTGGTTGTTAAAAAGCCTAATGGAAGTATCCGGCTATGTGCAGATTATTCGACTGGATTAAATGAAGCGCTTGAAGCCCATCAATACCCATTGCCGGTACCAGAGGATTTATTTGCGAAACTGAATGGGGGTAAGTATTTTGCGAAATTAGACCTCTCAGACGCTTATCTACAGATTCCGGTAGCGGATGAGTGTAAGCATTACTTGACAATAAACACTCACAAGGGATTGTTCCGATATAACCGACTTCCTTTTGGAGTAAAGACTGCCCCTTCAATCTTCCAACAAGTTATAGACACTATGTTACAAGACATTCCTGGTACCGCGGCTTAACTCGATGATATATTGATCATGGGTACAGACTATGCTGATTTAGAGAATAAGGTGGATGCGGTTCTCAGACGCATAGCAGATTATGGATTAAGACTGCGTGCCGAAAAATGTGATTTTTACGTGGAGCAAGTCCGGTATTTGGGATCCATAATTGATAAAAACGGGAGAAAACCTGATCCTGAAAATGTCGAAGCCATTAAGTCCATGCCTCCACCGACGGATGTGTCAACTTTACGTTCTTTCTTGGGAATGGTTAGTCATTATGGAGTTTTTCTGCCAGATCTGCATTGCCATCGTGCTCCTCTTAATTGCTTATTGAAAAAGGATAGTAAATGGTTCTGGTCAACTGAATGCCAAGGAGCATTCCTAAAACTGAAGCAGCTTCTATCATCGAATCTTCTTCTTACACACTATGATCCCGATCTTCCAATTATAGTCGCAGCAGATGCGTCGAACTACGGAATTGGAGCAGTAATTTCACATGCCTACCCTGACGGTTCTGAGAAAGCAATCGCTCACGCTGCAAGATCTCTGACTATGACTGAAAGAAACTACAGTCAAATAGAAAAAGAAGCCCTCGCGATTATATTTGCTGTAAAAAAGTTCCACAAGATGTTGTTTGGTCGGCAGTTCACCTTACTTACAGACCATAAACCTTTACTGACAGTTTTTGGATCTAAAAAAGGCATCCCGGTATATACAGCAAACCGACTACAGAGATGGGCTACCACACTGTTGGGTTATGATTTCAAGATAAATTATCAACCAACAACGGATTTCGGACAGGCAGATGCACTCTCAAGATTGATTGGTCTGCATGAAAAACAAGAAGAAGAGGTGCTTGTAGCTGCTGTAGATGTCGAGGCCGAGGTTCACAAAATATTGTCAGACGCAGTTTCCGGACTCCCGGTCACATTTGAAGCAATTAAAGAGACCAGCAAGAAGGATAATATATTAAAGATTGTTCGCCATTGCATACTCAATAAATGGCCTTCATCGAGATTACACGGAGAACTCTTACAATACTTTCGTCGACGAGAGTCATTAACAGTTGTCGATTCATGTATAATGTTTGGCCATCGTATCGTTATCCCCAGAAATCTTCGACACCAAGTCATTAAACAGTTCCACAGCGGGCATCCGGGGATAAGTAAAATGAAGTCACTAGCTCGTAGCTATGCATACTGGCCATCAATGGACCATGAGATAGAGCAAAAATGTCGCAGCTGTTGGTCCTGTCAAGAGGCTGCAAAGAATCCAACGAGAGCTGAGCCACAACCATGGCCTAAACCGGACGGGCCTTGGCAAAGAATACATGCTGATTTCGCCGGACCGATACAAGGCAGGAATTACTTAGTTGTTGTAGATGCTTTCACAAAATGGCCGGAAGTATATGACATGCCGAATACGACTTCAGAGAGTACCATAAGAAGATTGTCAGGATTGTTTGCCTGTTTTGGGGTTCCAGAGATCTTAGTGACTGACAATGGTACTCAGTTTATGTCATCTGCCTTCAAACGCTTCTGCAACGAGAATGGCATATTGCATCTACAATCTCCTCCATACCATCCTCAGTCGAATGGCCAGGCAGAAAGATTCGTGGATACAATTAAAAGAGCTCTGGTCAAAGGGGGAGGTGACGGTGTCCCGGAACAAGTGATCAATAAGTTCTTGATGTCTTACAGAGTTACCCCTAATCCGGCAGTACCAGAAGGAATGTCTCCGGCCGAGTGTATGTTCGGAAGGAAAATCCGGACAGTTTTTAACAGTATGTTGCCGCCCAGAAAGACAAATAAACCCACGAATGAAAATCGTAAGGTCAATCGTAGCTTCCAGGTGGGTGAAAAGGTACTTGTCAGATCGTATCAAGGTAATAGGAAGTGATAACCAGGTGTCATAGAACGTCGAATCGGAAATGTGCTGTACCTAGTCCGGAAAGATGTCGGGAAATGCGTAAGACATTAAAATCAAATGCAAAGAAATGATAGTATAGTGGTCACAGAAAACCGGCTTCCATTTCAATTGCTCGTTGATTCATCTCAGAAGAACCATCATGAGCGCGAATATCGAAAAGACAAACGACGCAGAGAGAAAGCTGTACAACCCTCGAGAGTAATGGACCGCAAGAGGAATGCGACACCCAAGCTTCAGGTGGATCCAAAAAAAATCTTATACAACGGACTTTAAAGGGGGGAGGTGTGACGACGGACCACCGGTGTACTCGAGGAAGCTGTAAGAGGCTCATAAGGAGCCGAAGACGTTCCATCCAATCACCTTTCGGAAGAATGTTCTAGAATTCCAACGTGTAGCTTCCCCATTGGATAATGCTAATAACCCCCTGTACGCGGATTGGAAGACTGTAATGATGATTTCGTTCTCACTAAAAATTATAAATACCTGACCATTTTTGTACTATGTTTGACACTGTTTGGAATAATATTCCTTTCGTTAGTCTTCTGTCTTCTTGTTGCGACTTGGAAGGGTTTGGTGTTCTAGTGCTCAGTTATACGCGGTTGTATCAAGAAAAATCAGCTTTTTCAAAGTTATAACAGAAACAGTTAACAATGGATTTATTCACAATTTGGCATCAATGCTTGAAATCATTATAATTTTTCAGTTCATTCAATGTGTATGATGTTTTGAGAATTAGTGAGATTTGGTCAACTCACATTGTTGAAATCCTGAACAAGGATTTCTGATTCTCTATTGAGAACCTGGATAGATTGTTTCAATAAAGCTGATAATGTTTAGTTTATTGATTTATATTTGAATGGTGATTAGATGTGACAGTCAGAATACAAATTTCATCACACAAATGAGTCGTCAATTAGTTGTTGAATGATGTGTACTCATCACTCTGATTGCCCAATTGGTAACACGTGTTCAAATGATTGTACAAATGCGAATTGTGAATAACTGATTGTGGAATCCTCTTCTGTCATCACTACTGACAACATTGTATAATGAATAGATTGATGTTATTAAATGAATGTTACTGTTTTAATTATTCAGAAGATCTCCGAGGTTAATGGATTGAGTACACCAACACCCATTATTCCAAATGAAAGCACTTTGATGAGCACCGAAGTTCAGTTAACTGAAAAAGTCAACGAAACTGTCGAAGAAACCGGTGAAGACTCGGTAAATATTTATTATTTTGTAATTCATGCTACGTTTTTCGTGTGACAAAGCTAATAGATTTATTGAAAGTAACGATCACGATACTCATGACTTGAAAGTTAATGATTGCCGTGTCGAGGTAACTACTTCTTAAACTTATCAGGTTGTTTTCAATGTCACCAAGTTCCACATTGCGAGTAAATACACTTACTCGAAAGAATATTTTATTCCTATCAATAAGAACTGACGTGTATTCTACCCTGAGTGACTAAACTACAGCTTTCTATACAGTGACCATTTCTAATCAGATACAAGTAGAATGCTTTATTTGCAGGGAAACAGTTAACAATGGATTTATTCACAATTTGGCATCAATGCTTGAAATCATTATAATTTTTCAGTTCATTCAATGTGTATGATGTTTTGAGAATTAGTGAGATTTAGTCAACTCACATTGTTGAAATCCTGAACAAGGATTTCTGATTCTCTATTGAGAACCTGGATAGATTGTTTCAATAAAGCTGATAATGTTTAGTTTATTGATTTATATTTGAATGGTGATTAGATGTGACAGTCAGAATACAAATTTCATCACACAAATGAGTCGTCAATTAGTTGTTGAATGATGTGTACTCATCACTCTGATTGCCCAATTGGTAACACGTGTTCAAATGATTGTACAAATGCGAATTGTGAATAACTGATTGTGGAATCCTCTTCTGTCATCACTACTGACAACATTGTATAATGAATAGATTGATGTTATTAAATGAATGTTACTGTTTTAATTATTCAGAAGATCTCCGAGGTTAATGAATTGAGTACACCAACACCCACTATTCCAAATGAAAGCACTTTGATGAGCACCGAAGTTCAGTTAACTGAAAAGCTCAATGAAACTACCGAGGGAAGCGATCAACACTCGGTAAATATTTATTATTTGGTAACTCATGCTACATTTTTTTATTTTTCTTCAGAATGTCACAGTTGAAATAGGCAGAGTGGAAAGTCAGAGCGAAACATCCCTCTACTTATATATCGTGATACCATTATTCGTATCATTATTTATTTTGTGTATCTGTGGTATTGTTTGGAGATACTACTATGTAAAAAGAAGAAGTAATGAATGATTCATAGAAGCATCTCATAACTCATTTGAAATATTCTGACACGGTTTTTTCTATTTGCTGTTTCATTTGTAAACTTTAATTTTCATTATTCGTTTCTATAATTCGTTGAATTTCTTCATGGAATTCTTATACTTGATTATGTAATATCTGATGCACTTTTATTGATTAAATAATAAACACAGTTTTTATTAATTACGTCATTGTTTTCATTCAACTGAACCAACTGACCTTTTTATAAGAGCTTCACAATATTTATTTTGAAGTTTAGTAGTTTTGTGTATTCGTGATTTTGCGACAACTGCAATTAACAATGAGTCCATTGTGAATGTTTATTCTGATGAATTCTCATCACTAGGAAATATCACTTCGTATTAACAACAGTGAATGTTATAAAGTGAGTCGTCGAAGTATCTTATCAATACAAAATTAGGAACTTCCGTTGTTGGTCACTTGATTATTCATTGCTCAATATATTCTGAGTGACAAGCTATTTTAACTCAGAGTCATCAAGACTAATTGTGTTTTCTTCCGTTATTTTATTATTGAC